ACTGAGATAATGAGGTTCTTTAAACCTTTTAAGATTGGTTAGACCAGGGCTTTTAAACTTGGCTTGTGACTGGCACCAAGAATAAAAAATAAGGCATTCTTCAATTCAGGCACTCCTGTCTAGCTTCAGAAGGAAACCTAAACATTCTAGGACAATAAAGGTCCCCCTTAAAAAAAAAAAAATCTATCATTTACTAATTAAGCCAGGAAAGGTTTCTTTTCCAGCTCTTTCAAGAGGAAGGGCATTGTTGGTATACAAAAAAAGCCAGGGGGCAGTGCTCCAGGAAAAGTACTCACCAGTGGTAGCCTATGAAGTATTATGGGAGTATCAGGGCTTCCTATCTCTTTGGGAGGGGGCGGCACTAGGACTGATTAACATCAAGAATTTTTGCCTAGGGCATGTGGAGGTGAAAAGCATCTTATTTTCATTGTCATGTACAATATAGCAAATTATCTATGCCTATGGTTTTTGTATATTTGTTTTTAGTAGTGTTGCTTACTTTCTCTTAAAAATTTACCCTGATAATTTCGATGTTTCTAACATATTAGAGCCCAAGTTTCCAGTCCATACTTCCACATTCCAGTCCTGAGCTTTTAAGGCATAATGTTCTTTTGAAAGGCAATAAATATGTAAAATGAGATATTGAATGGAAATGAAATGCTCCCAGATGGGATTTCAGTGATCACAAAGCTAATTTGTGTTCCGGTATATTTTTTTCCAAACTATGAAAGTGTTCTTAAACAGAGAAAAGAGACTTTGTAGAACATGAAATTTGCTTCCAGAATAGAATTGTTTGAAAAAATAACTTTGTTGCCATTTATTGAAAAAATACTCAAGTTTGCATGAAGAGATTTAGCATCTTCAAGTTAGAAAAATCCAACCGGCCAGTAATGACATATGCAAAAATGTCTGGATTAAGATCTACATCTAAAAGTAGATACCTGATGGTAGTTATATTTGTGGTGAGCACAGCATAACATATAGAAGAGTTGAATCACTATATCAACTATACTCAAGTAAAAAAAATCTTAAAAATTTTGTTACAAAATTTTTCTGCAGACAAACAAAAAACTCCAAAACTGGATACCTGAAGAGGGAATATTTTTTTCCATAAACTTTTTGTATGAATATTCACAGATCCACCAGTCATGTTGCTTTCCTAGACAATATAGGTTATTCCTTCATGGTACTGTAACTGAACACTCTCTAATAGATTATACAACTTTTAGCACACAAAAGCCTTCATCTTTGGAAAGGTAGGCTATGCATTGTATTGTGCAGTTTGCAAAGAGAATGTATTTTTTGCAAGTTCATTTTTCAACTTTGAGAATCTTTTCTGCTATTTTTTTGCATGAATATTTCCATTTTCATTGACAAATGAAAAATGTCCTTTCTTGTGATAATCCTCAAATTCTTTCTTGAGTACCCCTCAAAATGCTACCTAATTTTCCCAACTATTTCAATCAAGGGAGCTCCGAGTAAAGGGGTGGTCTGAACACAAGGTACAGTACAAGTCCTGCTTATTCTTTAGAGAACTCTCCAAGCCTCTCTACCCTGTTCTCTGAGATCTGCATGGACTGTCAGTCTATGAATTATAACGTGTGTTCCCAAGATTATCTAATTTGGTGCTTACAAAAGCCCTGTTTTTACAAAGAGAAACTTGAGACTCAGGGACAGGAAACGACCAGCCTCGAGCCTAGTTTTCAGATGACAAGCTCTGCTTTTCTTCTCATGCTCTGCTTCCGAAAACCGGACTCTGATCTAGTTAGGCGGACACCGTGGTCAGGAATCCTATGCCGGGGAGCTCTGCTGATGCTCCTGGCTGGTGAGGACTTGATGGGTGGAGAAAACTGATCTCCCTTGGCTAGTCTCCTTCTCTCATCTGTGCAGCTCAGTGCTGGAGGGTCAAAGGCACTGAGAAAGAATACTTGTACGATTGAAGTAAATGGACTTTAGTTTCCTTTTCCCCTCTGTATTCTTCACCCACTTCCTTCCATCTCCCTTTAGTAATAATAATAATAATTACTAAAATCACCACTATTTATTAAGAACCTAATAATGTGTTTATTTGACCGAGTTTTGCTAATTAATGTGTCCCTTATCCTCACACTCTCCCAGTAAAATGATTCTTAATTACTCCATTTTATAAATGAGGGAAGTGAAGTTCAGAGAGAAGATATCACTTCTTCAAGATCCCAGTGCCCGAGGGTCTCAGTGCTGGGTTTGCAGTGGATCCCTCTGCCGCAAAACCTGTGTGCTTCTGTGTGACGCTAGACACCTCCAGCCAAGGAGTTGCTCCTGGTCCATTTCTTGACAGCAGCATCTGCTTTTATGAAGTACCTATTCATACCTGAAAGGATACTAGCTTCCATGCAGATGGAGAGAATAAAACCCAGACTTGTGAAATTTCAGGAACAATAAGCTCTGACTCAAGAAGTACATTCACTCTTCTTGGTTTTGCTCATAGCATTTTCTGTCTTCTCTCCTTCATGGACATGGTGCTCAGTCTTAGGCAGACGCTTAACCATCTGAGCCACCCAGGCGCCCCGCATGTGTGTGTTTTCAAGTGTGGAAGTTAAATGTAGAAAACTAAAAACCGTTATATGCAAGAATAATTTCTTGGCATATTGCATTTGTACTTTATTAAAGCTGAAGTGACCCAGGTTGACTATATTAAGCCAGAACAAAGAGTTCCAAATCAGTTTGGCTAATATGTTAGAAGTAATTTGGGAGCAATCTATAGCACTAGCCAGACTGTGGTACAGTCATTTGGTTCTTATTTTAATTGGCCAACCCATGCATGCATGGTGTGTGAGTAATGATTTAGTTTCTGGACCATGAACTATTTAGGTTTTGTTGACAAATATCTGCTTTTACCAGCAGGGTTAGACATAGGCCTTATCAATTTCAATTTTACATATGATGGTTAATTAGTAGTTTAATTTCCTTCTGTGAATGCTGGACCTTTTCTTTAGATTAGTCTTGTTTTTATATTAGGTAGATGTAGGCATTTTCTATTTAGCACATAATTCTGATTGATAAAATGATGTCTGCTAATACTGAGTGCTATAGAACTTCATAAGATTGGTACTATTATAATATTCAGATGGGGAAACCGAAGCTTAGAAGAGTAGGCATACTTACTGACACTTAGACAACCAGCAAGGGCAAAGGAACTTTCAACTCTAGATCTCATTTCAAAAAACCAGGGTTTTAGCCACCACACAATTTTGCCTTTGAACCCGTTTTGGGATGTGGCCTCTATTTTCATCCCTATGTCCTATTATCTGCAACTCTAACTCTATAGGACGTTAGTTATCTGTACAAAGCACCAATATTAAGATTTTTTACATGATAGTATTTTTATAGCCACTTTGTTCCAGAAATAATAGGAGGGGCCCAATTATTTAGCTCAACTCTATTGAACTCTGTGCATCCTGACCAAGAGGACAGAATTTATTCACAACAATTATCACCAGTGCAGCAACCCAAAATTATATTACCAATAAAAAATATTTTAGTAGAAAAAAATGTGGCAGGTCTGCGTAAACTCTGAAGGAGTAACTTCCAGTGGCGATGTGAATACTTATGATAATACCACAGGGGAGAAAAGAAGTTAGGTGGAGGGAGAGACAAAATACCAGAATGCTGATAACATTGTTTCTAATTATGGTGTCACATAGTATGCAATTTAAGTACCTTGATATAGGGAGATTAGCCTGATTTATTTAGGTGGGCCTAATCTAAATCGTATGAGCTTCTAAAAGCAAACATCTTTCTCCTGCTGGTAGTAGAGGGAAAGCCAGAGATGCCAAGAATGAGAAGGGTTCAGTGTGCCCTTTGTTGGCTTGGAGGTGAAGAGGCTACACATCAAGGAAGGAACCTCAGTTCTAAATCCACAAGGAACTAGATTCTGCCACCAACCTGAATGAGCCTGGAAGCAGAATTCTCCTCAGAGCCTCCAGAGAAGAGCCCAGCCTAGCCCATACCTTGAGTTCAGCTTGTAAGGCTCTGAGCAGAGAACCCAGTTGAGCCACACAGCGTCTGGATTTCTGACCCACAGAATCGGGAGGCAATAAAGGTCCTTGTTTGCAATAGGAACCTTATGTAGTATGTAAATGATCAATTTTTTCATATGAACCCTGTAAGAATTTTCAAAAGAAAAATATTGCTCATTCTGAATAGTGAATGATACGTGAGAATATTTATCATGCCAGGTAATTAATTAATTGGTGAGGTGCAAAGGGGCATAAAGCAGAATTACTTGTTAATCATATTACCAACACTGTTGCAAAGTCATAGTCTTTCCAAAGCCACTCTGTTTCAGGGCTACCTGGTTAGCCCTAGTTTAAATCCAGAAGCATATATGTCTTTTTTTGTTTTTTTTTTTTCCCTCAGGCTCCCACTTTAATGGGAATATCCAATCTATTATAGACACCAGAGAGTTAGATTGTCTTCCTCAAGTCTAACTACCAAATAGTGTATATCAACCATTATAATAAAACATTTATTTTGCAAGGTAATAATATTGAGTTGCTAAAAAAAAAATGTAGTGAAAACTAGCTGGATTTAATCTATTGGTTTGTCCATGGTCAGTAGATTCATGCTTTGCCATATGTAACTGTATTTCATAGTGTTACAAGTAAACAGTTCTAAGGAAAATTAGTCAGGAGTGTATGTGGGGAAAACAGATACTGAGTTCAAAATTGAATATTTTTTTTTTTTAAACATTTTATTTACTCATTTGAGAGAGAGAAAGAAAGAGATACAGAGAGGGTTCAAACAGGAGGAGAGGCAGAGGGTAAGGGGGAAGCAGACTTCCTGCTGAACAGGGAGCCAGATGCAGGGCTCAATCCCAGGGCCTGGAGATCATGACCTGAGCCAAAGGCAGATGCTCAACCATATGAGCCACCCAGGCCCTCAGAATATGAATTTTTGATTTGAAAAATCAAATCAGAAATGTGGGAACTTTTATTTCCTCCCCCCCTTTTTTGTTGCAGATTAATCTTAAAGATATTGGTGAAATCTATAAAGTACGCATCGGACATGACAACAGTGGAAAGGATCCCGCGTGGTATCTGGAAGAAATTAGTCTTGAGGATATAGACACATGTGAGGTGTTTTGTCTAGCTGTTGACTCCTGGATAGCTGAGAATGAAAATGGTGGCAATCTATGGAAAGAAATGCCCATTGCAAGAACTAATAAAGCACCTTTACCAGGTATATAATTTCCTTTTCTTTGTATATGTATTAAAGATTAAAACGGTTGAGATGATGTAGAATGGAGATCGACAACCTTTTTCTGGAAAGGGCCAGACACTAAATATAATATGGTTTGTGGGCTATAAAATCTCTCCAAACAGCTCAGCTTTGCCAGGGTTGTGAGACAACTGCTGTAGATAATATGTGAAAGAACACTGTGGCTGCATTCCAATAAATCTTTATTTGTGGACACTGAACTTGGAATTTTGTATAAATTTCATTTGTTAAGAAATAGAATTCTGCTTTCAATTTTTTTAACCATTAAGAAATGTAAAAAGCATTCTTAGCTCCTGCGCTGATTAACAACAGGTGCTGGCAGATTGGACCCAAAGGCCTTCGCTTGCCTACTTCTGATTTAGAATATTAGGCTTTAAGGTTAGCACTTGTATGGCCGTGTATATGCAAGGATGTATGTGTATCATCAATTCATCTGTCTGTAAATGGTTTTGCTAGCCATTTAAATGTGGCTTTCCTCTTGTTTTCCTATGTTAACAAATGTCAGGAGCACCTGAATTCCTTTACTCAGTTTTGTTTTCTTTTGCCTAAAAGGGAACTCACGCATTGCTTTAATTGTCTCTCCATCCATTCCCTGCATCTCTCTGACAACCATCTTATTTTTGCCTCCACTGCTGTAGTGAAAATGTTCTCTCTCAATAGATACTGATGGCCGTTTTGTTCCAAATTAAAGGACTCTGTGTGTGTATGTGTGTGTGTTCTTGGTGTCCTAGACTTTTCTACTATATTTGACACTGTTGTTCCCTCATTTGAAGAAGAAGAGATTTCTAGAGGCTCTGGAACCAGACTCACTGAGTTAGTCTGGGCTTATTGATATGTTTAGCTGTGTCACCCTGGGCAAGCTACTTAGCCTCTCTTAGCCAAAAATACTTCATCTATGAAAGGAGATAAAATTAGTGCCTATGTCATAGGATTATTTTAGGTACATGAGATAATGCACTTAGTCTTTAGAATAATGTACTCACAGTACTTTGTTCCTGGCACATAGTAATCATTCAATAAATACTATTACCATCATTGTTATTAAACATTTCTCCATCCCTGACCTCTGTCACATGATACCAACTTAGTTCTTCACTGTTTTCTCTATTTTTTTCTATTTCTATCACTGGCTCCACTTGGTTCTCTTTCCTTAAACATATGGATTTTAATGCTTGATTCTTCCCTGCCCTTTTGAGCCTTTCTCTAACTTCTGTTGTTAACTCTACAGGGAGGTGTAATATTTCATCTTCAGCCCTGTCCTCTTCCTTGCCTTGAGTCCCAGTGTTCCATTAGATGATTCACCACCTCATCATCTCTAATAACTATCCATGGTCTATTTAGCCGTTCCACACAAGTAGAGGTAAACACATGTATACAAACAAATATTAGGTGCCAAGTGTGTGCCGGGAGTACAGAGAACCAGAGAATAGAAAGATGATTCAGAAAGGGCTTCCATTCCCCAGAAGTTATTAAATTTTATGGTTTCAGTTCTTATTTTGGTTGTAATGATTCCCCTCATTCTGTCTTCTCATCAGTTTCTTCTCTTCAACTTCCCTCACAAGTCTTCACTCCGCAGCTCACTGATGCTTTGAACCCACCACACCCCCAACAGAAATCACCACCCTGGACCCTCCACTTTGGCCTGTTTCCTTTAAACCTACATGGAGAGCCTGACTTTCTATACAAAATTCACATTGATTAGTCTCTCTCCCAGCAGGGGCCCAGTTTTACATATTCTCAATCCTTATTAGATTGATGCATGGCACAAGACACATGGGCTGTGTGCCATAGAAATACTTGTAGATTAATTCAGATATAGGGGAAAAAAAAAAGATTTAAGATAATGCCAGCTTAATTATAGGAGAAATATTTAAAACTGATTCTTTATATTTGTATATATTTTCACAGTTTATGAAAGCATTTCCTCATAGGTAATCTCATTTAATACATAAATCTCTAGATCTTAACAGTTTTAGTTGCCCTACAGTCATGTGAGGATGGCAATAGTATCCAGGAATGTCACAAAGGCTGAAATGGAAAAGATAAAAGGGCCCTAGGAAATTGAGAATTACAGGTCAATACCCATGATGAACATAGATACAGAAATCCTCAACAATATATTAGCAGACTGAATTCAACAATACTTTAAAAGGATCATACACTATGATCAGGTAGGGATTTATTTCAGGGGTGCAAGGATGGTTCAACACCTACAAAGCAGTTGATATGCCATTTTAACAAAATGAAGGATAAAAATCATATGATCATCTCAATAGATGTTGGAAAAACATTTGACAAAATTCAACATCTTTTTATGATAAAAACTCTCAAAAAAGTGGATATAGAGGGAATGTACTTCAACAGAATAAAGGCCATATATGACAAACCCATAGCTAACATCATGCACAATGTTGAAAAGTTAAAAGATCAGAAACAAGACAAGGATGCCCACTCCCACCATTTCTATTCAACATAGTATTGGAAGCTCTAGCCAGAGCAGTTAGGCAAGAAAAAGAAATAAAAGGCATCCAAATTGGAAAGGAAGAAGCAAAATTGTCACTGCTTGCAGCTGACATGTTATATATAGGAAGCCCTAAAGACTCCATCAAAAAACTATTAGAACTGGGGCGCCTGGGTGGCTCAGTCATTAAGCGTCTGCCTTCGGCTCAGGTCATGATCTCAGGGTCCTGGGATCGAGCCCCGCATTGGGCTCCTCGCTCTGCAGGAGGCCTGCTTCTCCCTCTCCCACTCCCCCTGCTTGTGTTCCCTCTCTCGCTGTGTCTATCTCTGTCAAATGAATAAATAAAATCTTTTTTTTAAAGATTTTATTTATTTATTTGAGACACAGAGATACAGAGAGAGAGAGAGAGAGAGCATGAGCAGGGAGAGAGGCAGAGGGAGAGGGAGAAGCAGGCTCCCTGCTGAGCCAGGAACCCGATGTAGGGCTCGATCCCAGGACCCTGGGATCATGACCTGAGCTGAAGGCAGATGCCCAACCATCTGAGCCACCCAGGCACCCCTGAATAAATAAAATCTTTAAAAAAAAAAAAACTATTAGAACTAATAAATGACTTAGGTAAAGTTGCAGGATACAAAGTCAATACACAAAAATCCATTGTATTTTTTACAATGATCACAAACTATCAGAAAGAAATTAAGGAAGCAATCCCATTTATAATTGCATTGAAAAGAATAAAATACATAGGAATAAATTTAACCAAGGAGGCGAAAGACCTGTATATTGAAAACTATTAGACATTAATAAAAGAAATTGAAGAAGACACAAATAAATGGAAAGATATTCCAGTAGCAAAGCAAGCTTGAGAAAGAAGAACAAAGCTGGAGGTATTGCACTCCTTGATTTCAAACTATATTTCAAAGCAATCAAAACAGTCTGGTATTGGCATAAAAACGGACCCATGTGTCAATAGAGCAAAATGGAGAGCCCAGAAATAAACCCACATATATGTGGTCAATTAATTTGTGACTGAGGAGCCAAGACTATACAGTAGGGAAAGGACAATCTCTTCAATAAATGGTTCTGGGAAAACTGGACAGCTACATTTAAAAGAATAAAACTGCATGGAGCACTGGGTGTTATAAGAAAACAATGAACCATGGAACACTACATCAAAAACTAATGATGTATTATATGGTGACTAACATTAACATAATAAAATAAAATTAAATTTAAAAAAAGAATAAAACTGGACCACTATCTAACACCATACACAAAAATTAACTCAAAACACATTAAAGCCTCGAACATAAGACTTAAAACCATAGGGATGGGTGGGTGACTCAGTCGGTTAAGTGTCTGCCTTCGGCTAAGAGCATGATCCCAGGGTCCTGGGATCAAGTCCCGCATCCGGCCCCTGCTCAGCAGGGAGCCTGCTTCTCCCTCTGCCTCTGCCTGCCATTCCCCCTGCTTGTGCTCTCTCTCTCTGACAGATAAATAAATAAAATCTTAAAAAAAAAAAAAAGACTTAAAACCATAAAATTCCTTGAAGAAAATGTAGGAGGTAAGCTCCTTAACATAGATCTTCATGATTTTCTAAAATAATCTGACATTGAAAGCAAAAACAACAAAAACAAAAATAAACAAGTGGGATTACATTACATCAAATTAAAAAGCTTCTGCACAAAAAAGGAAACCAGCAACAAAATGAAAAAGCAACTTACTGAATGGGAGAAAATAATTGCAAATCATATATTTGATGAAGGGCTAGTAATCCAAAATACATAAAGAACTCATGCAATTTAATAGAAAAAAACAACCCAATTAAAAAATGGGCAGGTCTAAATACTTTTCAAAGAAGTGATGTATAGAACTGATAGCTACACTTGGGATGAACATAACATAATGTATAAACTTGTCAAATCACTACCCATTGTACACCTGAAACTAATGTACATTGTGTGTCAACTATACTAAAAAAAATACATTCAGATGGCCAACGAGTACATGAAAAGATGCTCAAATAATAATCATCAGGGAAATGCAAATCAAAACCAATGAGATATCACCTCACATTTGTTAGAATGGATAATATCAAAAAGGCAAGACATAGCAAGTATTGGTGAGGATGTGGAGAAAAAGGAACCCATTCCCAGTGTTGGTGAGAGTGTAAATTGATGCACGCACTGTGGAAAACAGTATGGAAGTTCCTCAAAAAATTAAAAATAGAACTACCATATGATCCAGCTATTTCACTTCTGGGTATTCATCCAGAGAAAATGAAAACACTAATTTAAAAAGATACAAGGACCCCCAAGTTTATTGCAGCATTATTTACAATAGCCAAGATAGGGAAACAATGTAAATGATCACCCATGGATGAATGGATAAAGAAGTTTTGAGATATACACACACACACACACATATATATATACACACACCAATAATTATACCAAATAATTATATATCCAAAATTATATATATTATACTATATATCTGCTAT